GACCACGTGTTACCTCTAAGTAATGGTTAGAGAAGCACCCTATAATGCATTTCTATAGTAAAATTATTTGCAATGATTTCAGGTAAAAATATCAATAAATTTAAATTTTAACGGCGGTCGAAACATGGTGGATAAGAAGACACAAGATAGAAAATGATTGGTGTTTAATGTTGGGTGCCGATAAACGTACACACACGCCAGCTATTGAATCCTGGTGACCACTGACATTTTGCGAGCAGGGGTCGGATACGGGAGTTGGTTAGAAGCCCTAATAGACAAGATACGAACAGCCAGCCATTATTTTGAGGATAGCTAATATTTCTTGTAATGTAACTTAACTAATTACATCGTCATTAAGGAATTTTTGACCACTAAGAATCCCTTTTTAATCTTCAACATATAATCTCGATTAACCAGTTTTCAAATCATTTCACCTCCAACCACCAACCTTCCCTCTTCAGTGCAATGAAGGAATTGCTGCTGCAGTGTTACAATTCCCAGAAAGAGTCTAAAGTTTAAGTTGAAGAAACATGAGGTACGCTATTTACTCGACTCCTCATCGCAAGACACGTGACAAAGGGCTGACGCACTATGTACTCGCCTCTCCACGGTAACAGACTTAACTTGAAGAAGAACATATACAATTGTTTGATCCCAGTACGAAGGGTACGTAAAGGCAGTCTGATTTCCCAGATGAATTCAGATCACCTTAACTACAAATTTTAGTGCCATTTTAAAGGATTTAAAACTACGCATTTATTCAGTAAATATTATAGAATAATCTGCGACATTTACTGGGGACAAACAGGGGATAGAGATCAAATTGAGCCAGCCTGCAAACAGAAAGTGGCTCCTAGGACAAGTAACCAATTCTCTCCAGATTTATTCAACCTACACAGCAAGGCGATCTTAACGGAACTAGATTTTCTACCGGGATTTATTATTGATAAGAATAATCTAAACACCAGAAAAAAGGCAGATGACTCCGTGTTGATGGCAGATGCAGAAAAACTTCAAGAGATCCGAGAATAGGTCGTGAAAGAAAATTAAAAAAAGATTTTAAAAGGAACTGGGTACCTAAATACTAATATAAGCAGTTCATAAAAGTGTATTGGTAAGATCCCCAGGAATATGGACAAGAGTTCTGCAATGCATGGTTGTTAGTAGAATGATGTGCCCAAAGTGAAAATTGCAAATTGGAGATACCAAAATAAAAAAAAATACAAAAAAATAAACAGAACTCTTCAGAGGACGGGAAGTGCGGCGCTGAAATTCGAATTAGGATGGCAAAAGATGCCTTCCAAAAACTAAGCAAAACATTAAGAGACAGGAGAAACTTCGTTAGAACCAAAGAAAAGAGTACTGAAGTGTTATGTGTTATATGTTCTCCTGTATGGCATATATATTGCGATGTCCAATGATGCCTTCCAAAAGCTAAGCAAAACATTAAGAAACAGGAGAAACTTCGTTAGAACCAAAGAAAAGAGTACTGAAGTGTTATGTGTTATGTGTTCTCTTGTGTGACAATGAATGCCGGACAACTTCCTCAAAAATGAAGAAGAGACTTGAAGCTGCAGAAATGTTTCAACAGAATATTCCCGAGGAAACCGGGGACAGAACATGTGAGCAACCAAGATGTTTTAAAGAAAATTAAAACAAAAAAGGAACATACTTATCACCAGGAAGAGGCAAATGAAATTATTCGGGCACATAATGAGGAATGATGGCTTTAAAAATCTGCTACCCAAGGGACAGGTAGCTGTAAAGAGGATAAGAAGAAAGCATTGATGGTCTTGAGTAAATGGATGGCGGAACAGCGTTTAGAAATAATGAAAAGACTGTTGTTCATAATGACGGTCGTCTTGAGTAGAGTAATCCAGAGGTTAGCGGTGAATATCTTGAAGACAGTAGGAAAGCGTTGTTCACGTTAGCAGTGGATATTTTGAAGACAGTAGCAGAGCATAGTTTGTCCTTCTGTTTCTCTTCGCCTGACAAGCTGGACTGGACATTCGGGTAAAGTAGACAAAATGGCCGCCTTTATACACGACGGATTGAATGTTCTACGGCTTTTGATTGGTTAACCTTCTATTGGTGGACTATAAAGTGAGTCTAGGCATTTTGACTAACTCACTGGTACATATATTGATTCGGACGGTCCTGTCCGCATTCTTGGAGTGTGGTTTGGGCCTGACCTCCAGCTGGAGAAGAATTGGTCTGAAGTACGTGCAAAGGTCGATTCTGCCGGACAGACTTGGAATCGACGGCGGTTGTCCGTGAAGGGCAGGGCGGAGGTGTGTGTTACATACATTTTCCCCCTGATTCTTTATCGATTGTCCGTACTTCCTATCTGTAAAGACCACAGGAAGGGGCTCGAGCGATCGCTATCCTCCATTTTATGGAGGGGACGCGTGAACAGGGTCGACAGACGAGTCTGCACTAAACGTCCGTGTCATGGGGACTGGGAATGCCGCACCTTATGAGTCACATCCGTGCCTCGAGGTTGGTTTTCCTACGCCGCGCATTGACTGGAGGAGATCCGATTCTGGAGGGGATTGTTAAGGACGCCTTCCCTAGCCTTACCATCAGTCCCCCCCCATCTCGCGGGTTGAGCGCCGTTGTAAACCCCGGGATGGATTGGATTTCCTTCGCGAGTGTTGGTTGGCATTGAATGCCATTCCCCGTTCCAGTGACCTTTCTCGGCCTAGGAACGTCTTCTATCGTGGATTAGTGGAGGGACGCGTGAAGGATTCCCTACGAGATACGCCCGGCATGTCGGAGGAGGAGTTTCGCTCCTACTGGTCTTGGGCGCCAGCGGCGGATTACCTCAGTAACCCTGAGTTTTCGCTTATCTGGCGATTGGCTCGGAATCGGCTACCTCTCAACTACAAGGCTTTCATATGGGGTTTGGCGGATTTGCCAGACTGTGAACGGTGTGGTCTTGGCTTAGAAGAAACGGCTTCGCACGCCTTCTACCATTGCTCCCGGGTCCGCCCCTTATGGGACCATGTCGGCGAGCTGACGACTCGTCTCGCTCCCGAACAGCTTGTGTCCATTGATCGCGCATACGCGTGTGACAATGTGTCGCCCCCGTATTCCGGGGTGAAACGGATGGTGTTTCTGTCGCTGCTGGCTACAGCTCGAATGGTGATTTGGACGACGCGGATGGAGGAAGTCTTGCGAGGCAACCGTCTTTCTTATCATCATCTAATCCAATTCTTTGAGTACCAGCTCAAGATGAAGATTAGATCTGATAGAAAACGATTGCATTCGACAGTCTTTAGCGAAAGGTGGGTAAAAGAGGCGAGCTTGGTTCGTGTGACCGGGGCTAGCCTTGATTTTCTTTTCTAGGTCAACCTATTGCACATCGGGGTGGCTTCCTGTGGAACCCTCCCCTTGGTTAGGTTAGACAAGCTTAAGTGTACCTAGTTAATGTGAGTAAGTGTTGTTCCTGGCCTGTATCCCGGCTGCTCTTTGGTTATGGTCCAAGTCAAGATTCCCAACCTCCCCAGTTTGTTTTGGACCCCTTTTATCTCGACTGGGTCAGCTTTATTTTTTCCCATTCCCGCATAATATTTTATCCTCTTCTCCCACTCCTTTAGCGAGAGCGCTTCTTGATTTTGTCCCCTGGGCAGAATACAGCGGGTTTTGAGGGTTGGACGGTCTCTACTAACATCAATTATGTTTAGTTTGCATTTTATGTTAATTTTAGTTGTTATTAGGTTCATCTCCCTCCCCTCTCATTGTATCGTTATTAGAATTGTATGTATTTTATGTATTATCATCAAATTTTTATGGATTGGGGCGCGTTTTGTAAGTTCCCCTTGAGAGGATGTGGTATTATGGTGGTTGGAGGATTGATTGGTGATAGATAAGTTCTTGTGGTGAATGGGTAAATTGTAATGTATGAATGGGTCGTGAATCTGATTAGCTAGGTATAGGATAGATAGTTTGGACCAGCCTTTACCCCTCCCCTTTCTTGGCCTTGTGCCGCAATTCTGTACATTCGTACTGAATAATTCTCCTAGTACATATATAGATATACACAAAAAACTGCAACAAAGACAACATTTAATAGGAACTACATGGGACAAGAAGATGTGGAGGGCCATGATTGCATAACCTCCCGAAAGGACGCAGCGTATGAAGACAAAGAAAAAGTAGAATGGCACTTGTTACCATTTTTTCTGCAGGGAAATCTACCAGATGCTACTGGTGTGGAAAATAGACGCTTCAGATATCAATAATAGAAATGACTTCACCAAATGGTGTTATTAACAAGATAATTTTTATTAATACACTAGCATTCTCATCCACGCCCACTCGCTCTCCCAGGCCCTTGCTTTTTCATCTTAATTACAAGGATATCAATAATTTGTTAGTTGCGTCTTATTGATGTTGGCGGTGATGGAATTTTTATTTTGTCCTCGTTTGCTGCTGTTAATTTCTTATTTTATTGGATGTATTTATTTAAAAAAAAAAGAACACTAAAAACAGCCCATTTTTCTTGGGAAATCGATAAGGAAATTAAAACATGTTATATAAGTGAAAAACATAATTACAAACGGAGGAAATGATCAATTTAATCAAGGCAACACTATCAAACAGTGTTTTCTATTTATATGAAATATATTAATGTCTTTCTTCTTCTTGGTTTACGGCCAGATCACGTTGAAACAACGGCTCCCGTACTACCACCCAAGTTAAGCAGCGTCTGAGCCTGGACAGTGCCAAGATGGGTGAGCGCTTGGCAATACCAGGTGCGTTAAATTCGCATGTGCGTTTGGTATAATGGAAAACAGATCGGAATTGGTAATCGCAAAGCTGAGCTCCAATTCCAGTCGTGTTCTTTAAAATCACTTACGTGCAAATACTCGTGAAAAGTCTATGAATTCGCAGCTTATCCCCCTAGCTATGGGTTAATGAGTAAAACTTGTATCAGTAAATCATTCATTTACCTTCAAAGAATTCTTACAAGGTAAAAATATTTTCTGATTTTAATGATGTTGCAACAGATTGATAAACCGGAAAAAAAATTCGTCTTCTTTTTCTTCTTCTTCTTCTTTTTTCTTCTTCTTCTTCTTTTTCTTCTTCTTTTTTTTCTTCTTTCTTCTTCTTCTTCGTCTTTTTCTTCTTCTTCTTTTTTCTTTTTCTTCTTCTTCTTCTTTCTCCTTCTCCTTTTTTCTTCTTCTTTCTTCTTCTTCTTCTTCTTTTTTCGTCTTCTTTCTTTTTCTTTTACTTTTTTCTTTTTTTTGTTCTTTTTCTTTCTTCTTCTTCTTCTTCTTCTTCTTATTATTATTATTATTAGTAGTAGTAATAGTAGTAGCAGTATTATTATTATTATTAGTAGTAGTTAATCTGGTCTGTGTCCTGATTTTAATCAGGATAGGTCCTAGCACAAAAAAAAGTTTGGCCTGATTGTAACCTACATATTCCAAAATATCGTCAGCTCTCTGGCGAATTCAGATTAGTGTTCTTCTGATGTTAAACACTGAAGACGTTAACAGAAATTCTCTTCACGAGACACGGTTTCAAAAACATTCCTCACCACTCAATAAATTTTCAGAGAATCCTCACAGAGTAAATGATCACAGTTTTCTGAGGCTCAGCAAACTGTCTCAATTCCAATTCTCCATAAGCGCATTTAAAAAAAAATTGAGCTGTGATCCAAGCACACCCATTACGACAGGAATTAGTTCTACATTCACGTTCTGTAGCTTCTTCAGCTCCCGAAGCAGATCCTGGTATTCTTCTGATTTTTTTCAGTTAGTTTGGAGTCCATTCTTCCGTTATATGAAAAACCACCATCAATAATCTTAAACTTGCGATTCTCCTTATCTATAACAATAAGGTCGGGTCTTTGTATTATTATCAAGAACTGGGTATTGTCAGTGTAGTGTGGTAGACAACATTATGTTGGCTACACACTGGTATTTTATATAAATTGGAATTGAAATCAGCTTAAAGTGAGTTATGTGCTATAGTTAAAATGAGCTGTATATCTCGAGATTCTTGACAAAATCCAAAGAATCTGGCATCTCAGTGTCATACAATTTCCCTCTGCGATAATGTAGTTTCACTGTGTCTTTTCTAGTAATATTTTCATGGCAATTGTTCTGATGAAGTTTCCTCTTGGCTACCTTTTCCTCATCAATTAGCACTAAATTGGTAACCGTATCTCATTGCTTTACTATTAAAATAGCTACATGTAACATTATCTGGGGCTCAGCAATGTATGTCTTAATTCCAATTCTCAATAAGCGTATTTTAAATTTTTTCTCAGCTGTGTTCCAAGTATACCCATCACCACAGGAATTAGTTCTACATTCATGTTCTATAGCTTCTTCAGCTCCCGAGCAAGATCCTGGTATACTTCTGTTTGTTTTTCGGTTACTTTCGAGTCAATTCTTCTATTATATAAAACAACAAAAGTCAATAATTTTACACATGCTCTTCCCTTTATCTATAACAATAAGGTGTTACTACCCCAGGTCAGGGCGTACCTGGGAACGCCAATTAAGAGGTGGTCCCACGCTCCTCAAAACCTCCTGATCAGAGGACTTGCTGTTGGACGTAGTTTATCGTCTTACCCTGGACACGGATGTAGTTTCTCGTGATACCCAGGACAATAAGTGATGTGGTTTCTGTTATTTGGTACAATTCTTTGTGATTCTGTGGCGCTAGTCCACAAGTTTCAAAGAGGAAAGACCTTTGGCAAAACCGCCAGGCTTCACTTTCTAAAAGCCCTTTTCTTCATCATTGAGGCATAGGAAATGTTTGTATAAAACTGACAGTTTAGATATTTCCAAACGGGTTTAGCGCAATGCTAGGCATCTTTATGCAAGTCTCCATCTGACGAGGTTATTTAAGAATATGTCTCGAGTTTTCAGGTTGATGTTTTGGTTTAGTAGCAATTGGCGGTATTGGGAGAAACTACCTGTGACACAACCTATACTATTTTCAATTTCTTTTTCTCCTATAACTTGCCTATACGCCGAAGTATCTGGCGTGATTTATATATATTATTTCCACACCCTAAATGGAACAGCTATGTCAAAAATTGGACACTTCCTATCCTTCTTATGCATAAAAATATAATCAGGTTCAATGGTATGATCTGTCTAGACTTAGAAATCCTATAATATATGATTATTATTGTAATTGCCATTATTATTATTATTATTATTATTATTATTATTATTTTATTATCATTTTGATTTCTGGCGTTTACATAGATTTCTTTCCGTATCTCCTTGAGGCATCCCGCCCAGGGACCTAAGGTTTTCGAGAAATGGCGTCATGACACTTTCCACTGACAAAAAAAAGTAAAATTAAATTATTGTATAGATAAAGCCCTTCGTAAAATGTGGGCTGTACTTGTCAGAACAATTTTGTATCTTTGCCTTGAGGCATGGACTCCAAAGATCCAGGAACCCTTCAATTAGTCTACTGCAAACTTTTCCAACCAGTCCTTGGGCCCTCCAACTTGATAGGCCCAAACAGGGATTGTTGATGTTCCCATAAAACGCGACGTCGCCACAAATACTTTTCGAGATTTCTATTTCAAATTCAAGGTCCTTGCATTTTGACAACTTTTTGAATATCTTCAAAGATACATTCCAGTCAGCAGGGACTGCCATATCAATAAGGAGGCACGGTTTTTGTTTGTGGTCTTTATTATTATTATTATTGTTATTATTATTGTTATTATTATTATTGTTGTTTTTATTGTAATTGCTATTAATATTATTATTGTTATTATTATTATTGTCGTTCGACGCTTTGCATTCATCCCCTCTAGGCAGGTGGTGTGTTGTTAAATTTCATGTTAATTTTTTTTTTTTTTTTTTTTTTTTTTTTTTATTAAGGTCAAGTCGACAAAGTTCCTCCCTTGGTTCTCCGCTGCTTTGCTTTTTTATAATTCAGCCGCCATTGCCGATTTCAGGAATCAAATTCTTTTTTCAATCACATTTCGTAGCGACATGTCCGGACTGCAATAGACGTCTCTTTGCCTCCGCCTATTTCTGTAACGAGTGTAAGAGTGTCCTTTTCCAAAGTGTTTGCACACATTGTCCAGTGTAGCCCCACTAACGTCAATATTTTGGGGGCAAGTATAGAACATCCTGAGATTAGATGGTCTGCTCGGATGAAGGAGCGTATTGCATCTGCAAGAAAATTTGGCTCCAATGAGATTATTTATTTGGCGGGCTTGCAATCTGTTCAGTGTCCCTGAACAATCCAGTCATTTGTTGTTTCCAGAAAAATTTAGCTCCATTCCACCTTTCTTTACGGGGTTTATTCAACCAGTTCGAGGTCTTGTTTTACCATTTGTCTGATGTCATTTAGAGTCCAGTTCAAGGTTGAAACTATATTGACCACTGGGATGTTTTGGCTAATTCGAAATTCAATTCAGTTTTTAATTCAGTCGTACCTCTTCTATAGTACGCTTTACGACTCCTTTTCTTGCTGCCGTATATGGTCTGGTAGCCCCTGTTCTAAATCTTTTATTGTTGCTACCAGGGTCTAAACTAATAGGGTTGTTTGATAGGCTCCAGCGGCCAAATTGATTTCATGCCAATGTCTTCATAAGCATTTTACAGTTTGCCCTGCTCTGGCATCTCGTCTCCACTGTGGTTTATTTTCTTTGAGCTATTTTGTAACAAACGCGACGTCGCCTCTCTTGATGCTGTCTTTTTCTACAAATATCGACATGGTAAATTGATGATAACCGATGAGCTGCTTTCACTGGTTCACACTATCGAATGCTTTTAGACTCCATGAATTTTTTTTCCAAAGCAGCCCAGGATCACGAGGCTGGCATCCGTAGCAGCTCCCACCCTTTTGTTCACGGTAGAAAATTTTAAATGAAAGACATGTAATTGGTCGTTTTTTCTATTTGTGTCTTCTATCCATGCAGGAATTTTAGTTGATCGGTCCAATAGCTTTCCTGAGATTTCAGTTGTGTGCCAGTGCACATTTAACCTTCTTCGCCTGTGGATTTACACCCTTCCCCAATCTGCCTGTTTGTTCCTGAGAACTGTATAATTCTTCCATTTTACTATTCAAAAATTTCTTTTGTAAAGATCAATCGACAATTCTCCAGTTATTGTTTGCTTTTATTTTTTTTTTTAGATCTTCATTTTCATTCCTGATATTGTATTTTCCTTCTCCTCATCCTTTACTTCTATCATAATTCCTATCTGCTGTTCTCGCTTTTCCAAATCTTCCGTCAACCCCTTTGATGTTCAGTTTATTTGTTGCTGCTATCCTATTATATTAAGCTTCAGAGATTTATATGAGTGGCTTCATCCAGAATCAATTTGAGTGCTGCAATAGAGCTTAAAATGCCCCAAAATCTGACAGATATGGCTATTATTATTGTTTTACTATTATTTGTTTTCAGAAATAATTCTGTTATTTGAACTCGTTTTATTATTGTTAAGATATTATTTCACAGTTTTGTGTGTATTATTTTTTCATTATTGAGGCTTATTCTTTTTTTTATTCCGGTTCATTTCATGTTTTGTTGGTTCATTATTGTTGCAATTCTTTATTTCATTTCAGCCTTAATTTATTATTTCTTATTGTTAGTTTATTTTGTCTATGTATTATTGTTTGCTTGTCATATTTTTGATGTTTTTCTGAGGTTTGTTATTATCATTGTTTTATTTTTTTTTTTTCCTTTAAATATTATTATCTAGTTATTTAGATTATCCTATTATTATTGTTAGTATTATTTTTCGACCTCAGGTATTAAGGACGGGCCCTGTTTATCCACTGTTATTATTGTTATTTTTAATTTTCATTATTGTTATTGTCCACCCAAAGTTGCCCGGCACGTTGAGTAACGGTCTTATTATTATTGTTGGCACGATTATTTTTGTTGTTCGGAGTTTTCCTTCTATTAAATGGGTTGTTAATAGACAGATTTGGAAATTGACGATTAAAATCAAAGAGAATGACGCTGGTTAAAAAAAAAAAAAAAAGTTTATTGTTTGTTTTAAGTTATTATTTATTGGCCCATCTAAATTCCACGATATTCCTTCTTATTGTTATTGTTTCATAAATTATTAATTAATATGTTTATTATTATTATTGTTATTATTATTATTATTATTGTTGTTATTGTTATTATTGTTATTTTTTATTGTTATTATTATTATTATTGTTATTTATTATTATTATTATTGTTTATTATTATTGTTATTATTATTATTATTATTGTTATTTTTTTGTTATTATTATTGTTATTTTATTGTTATTATTTATTATTATTGTTGTTATTATTATTATTATTGTTAATTATTATTGTTATTTATTATTGTTTTTGTTATTATTATTATTGTTATTGTTATTTATTGTATTGTTATTATTATTATTGTTAGTATTATTGTTATTATTGTTATTATTATTATTTATTATTATTATTATTATTATTATTTTGTTATTGTTGTTATTGTTATTGTTATTATTATTTTGTTATTGTTATTACTATCATTGTTATTATTATTATTGTTAGTATTATTGTTATTGTTATTATTATTATTGTTCATATTATTATTATTGTTAGTATTATTGTCATTACTGTTATTATTATTATTGTTGTTGTTATTATTATTATTGTTATTATTATTATTGTTATTATTATTGTTATTACTATTATTGTTATTGTTATTATTATTGTTCATATTGTTATTATTGTTATTACAAGTTAAACAAAATGTCCTTACTGATTTTGATTTATTAGAAAAAAAAAGGTATCCAGCAAACGCATCGAGAAACTTGTGCCCCAGCTGTGCCATGCCCTGGGGTTAAAAATCAACCAAAGCGACAACGAAAGTTCAAGTTCCATGGACTTACATCCATCTCCGTCGAATGGTTGTCGCCCATAAGAGAATTCATTTTCCTATCAACACTTAACTGTTCTCTTACCGTTGACTCATCGACGGCAGGCAAGCTAGAATCTTTTAAACAGCTGTTGCTACAGTAGCAAGCAAAACTTGCCTCCCATCCAAAGCAACAAAGAACCCACGAGCCTCCTCCACACGTGGTAATTGTATTTTCTAGATCTTTCCCTTGGTCTTTACTTCATTCTATGTTGACGAACGTTTCTCTTGCAACTTTTAAACTCTGTGATTCTATCCTGGTCCGAACTCATATCGGAGTTTCATGACCTAACGTATTTATCTGTTCCTAAATCTCCATTGATTCTTTTTCTATTCTCAGCTTCTAAACTAGTAAGTGCAATTCGGTAAATATATGTCCTACAAAAAATATTCATAGACAAGTTGCCTCCTTTGTACTGTTTATTAAAAAAAAAAGGAGATTCTTACAATTAATCTTTCTCACTTTTCTGGCTCCTTTCGTCTTCAGTAACATTTGGCGCCAACCATTACAATTTGGCGCGCAATAGCGTTCTACCTCAACATCAACCTCACGCTTCACAGATTCGTCAGACCTACTATCCAGAAACCACGAACTCGACAACACGAACTCGACACCCCATCCTTTCTTTCTTCGTCCTGTCAGTTTGATATTAAATAAACTTATATTTGTTATGCCCTTTGTACACCATTCGTGTTTGTCCATTCTTTACCGTTGCTAACCTTGTCAAGGTGATTTAGACGCAAAAAAGCCTGTGCGTGCCTGCCTCAAGTCTGCCTTATTTACGAAAGATTTCCCACGAAGTTGGTTGTCCAAGAAACAGAAAAGGTGGTAATCTGTTTTAGTATGATCTGGCGAATAAGGTGCATGACACAGTGTCTCTCAGCCAATTCGCCGTAAGGAATTCCTGGCCATTCGCGCCAAAAGAGGCCTGGCATTGTCATGGAGGAACAATACACCCTTGGGATTAAACAATGCTGGTTTATAGTTAACCCGTTTGTAACAGCTAATAATGTACCAGTTGTCGACTTGTCCACCAGATACAGGGCATGATCTTGTGTGGGTGTAGAGTTGGTCGTTTTGTGTGAGACACAGGGACCTGTGAATAAAACCAATGATGATACGCTTATGAGTGCTATACAGAATCCATCACTGGCGAGACCTTGATCAAGTATGGGTATAATGCGGTTCCCACTTGCTCAGTTTGTACGCATGTTCTAAGCGATGCAGGTGAATGTTTCATCAGAAATCTGGAAGCATTCTGTAAGCTCCCCACACGTTTGTTTATTGTTCTCATCTATGGCCGCCTCCAGGGTATCATCATCCCACACCTGTGGCCGACCGCTGCGGGGTTCATTACAAAGGGACACATCTTCTGATTTGAACATATAGAACCAATGCCTGGCGGTGCGTTTACGCACAGTATTAGACCCAAAGGCTTGACGTATTCGTCGACTTGATGCAGCCCCGGACAAGCCCACTTTAAAGACACAAAACAGACAAAGAGCGGCTTCGACAGCGCCATGTTTCCTCGCAACTGCTCAAGATTACACTGACGTGTGTGTGCAACGTATCTGCATTGGTCAAGAAAAATGCCTCCACCTGTACGCAGTCATTTGCATATTAGTGATCACTTTTTCCCATTTTTTAAATTACTAATTGGTGTTCTTCTTAGCAGTAACAATAAAAGCATGTGGTTCTCTTTTTTTTGCAAAAACTTTAAAAACAAACGTAGGATAGACTTCTATTGACGTTAGATTATACTAAGTAAATAGAATTTTGTTGCCCGAGTCAGCTTGACGCTTTGTAGCATACGAAATCTGTCATTAGTAACGTGAGATAAAAATAAACAATAACCAGTTACTCATATACTGAATTCTATCAGTTATTTAAGCGTAGGACTGGAGATCAAAACGTTTCCTTGCTCTAAATCACTCCTAGATTAAGGTGTTGGTATCGAATATCATTCCGTGCAGCTGATAATCAAGTCGAGGTTGAATGTAATTTCCTAAGGACGCCATGATTATGCCGACGTCGGATTCATTAAGCTGGCCTGGACGTACCAGGTGAATTTCCCAGGAACAACAAAAAAAAAATAGTGTTATATAACAGACCAGCTTGCTGACTATCGATCAACAACCATTATCCAGACAGCAATTTTAAGGATTATGACATAATAGCGGCTAAATGTCGTTATTATAGTATTATGCATCCATGATCATCGTACGGGAGACTATAAATTGGGTGCCTGATAAAACATTCAAATACGGACACTTTATCTATCTATCTATCTATCTATCTATCTATCTATCTATCTATCTATCTTTAACTGTCTTTCTCATATTTATCTGTTTTTGCCTTTTATCATTTCTCTTAAGCTGTCCACATCTATCTATCTATCTATCTATCTATCTATCTATCTATCTTTTCATCATTTCTCTGAAGATGTCCACATCTATCTATCTATCTATCTATCTATCTATCTATCTATCTATCTATCTCTGCCTTTTTCATATTTATCTAGATTTTTATCTGTCTTTATCTGTCTTTTTCATATTTATCTGTTTTGGCCTTTTATCATTTCTCTGAAGCTGTCCACATCTATCTATCTATCTATCTATCTATCTATCTATCTATCTATCTATCTATCTATCCTTTTATCATTTCTCTGAAGCTGTCCACATCTATCTATCTATGTATTTTTTTCTTTTATCATTTCTCTGAAGATGTCCACATCTATCTATCTATCTATCTATCTATCTATCTATCTATTCTTTTATCATTACTCTGAAGATGTCCACATCTATCTATCTATCTATCTATCTATCTATCTATCTATCATTTCTCTGAAGCTGTCCACATCTATCTATCTATCTATCTATCTATCTATCTATCTATCTATGTATCTATCATTTCTATGAAGCTGTCCACATCTATCTATCTATCTATCTATATATCTTTTCTCTGAAGATGTCCACATCTATCTATCTATCTATCTATCTATCTATCTATCTATCTATCTATCTATCTATCTATCTCAGTGTGTTTTAAGTATCTATCTATCTCTGCCTTTTTCATAGTTATCTATCTATTTTTATTTTTTATCATTTCTCTGAAGCTGTTCACAAGAATCTATTTTTTTGCGCGTGCGGGCAACACACACACACACACACACACACACACACACACACACACACACACATATATATATATATATATATATATATATATATATATAGCGAGAGATAGAAAGAGAAAGAGAGTAAAATTTAAGACAGAGTGATAAAAATCTTGTAAAGTGTTTCGTTCTTTAGAAAGTGGTTGTGTTTTATCCTAAGCATTTCTTCAGTCCGCCCACCTTCAATTTGTTGGTATGTGATTGCTAACAATCGCACCACGACATGTAACCAAATTATTATTTGTTCAGAGTAGAATTTACGAAATCATGGGTTTATTGCACATCGTTAGGATCGAACTCGCTACATAAGCAAATACTTTGTAAGATTTGTTAAACATTACGCCTCCTTCGTAATATATATATATATATATATATATATATATATATATATATATATATATATATATATATATATAACTAGACTCGTTTTTTAAAAACCCTCGAATTTTTGATTTGCTAATCAAATCAATCTCGAGGGAAAAAAGGTTTTAAAAAAAGAAAGAGCTACAAACATGGACTTCTGCCGACAAAAAAATCGCACAGATGCAGGTCTGAAGCCCAAAGAAAAAACCCCGATACGAGTAACAACTAATCAACAAAAAGAGCTCAATACAACTGTAGAGCAGACCTAGATACACCTAGTGAGCCGAGAAAACTACCTTAGGTTTCACCTAAACGGATCGTCAGGGAAAGTTTGGCTGACGATCCGTTTAGGTGAAACCTAGGTAGGTTTGTCTGGCTCACTAGGTGTATCTATATATATATATATATATATATATATATATATATATATATATATATATATATGATGAAGCTGACTGATCTAGGAAGACCTTTCATCATCACCTAGTGGAATAAATCCCTCGAGAAGAAAAAATAAAAGTTTCCATTCTTAAAGTCTTTAGCAATCACGGACTTAGTAATTATTGAATTCTTAAATTTAACAGTCTTTGAGAACATGCATTTGAGAATACATTTTCTGTTCACAATCTTAATATCTGAAGAGTCAAACTTAATATTTCTTAAATTCATATTGGGTAAGAAAAAAAAAGTATTGTTTTCTATTCAGGAAATCCTAATTTATGATTCGTAGATTAAATTTTAATCACTATATTTAATTTATACTGAAATTTTAAATTTTAGTTTTAGTATTCATAAATTCGATAGACACTGTAGTCCTTGATTAAATACGCTTCAAATGTAAATTTTAATATTACATATTTTCTCAGTACCTTGAGGACGCATCTTTTAATAGCTCTAGTTTTTTTTCTAACATATTCTCGTTATTATTTCTAGTTCGATAAATAATAAAAAAAAACACCATGGTAACTTGTCAAATGAAAAAGCATGCTGTATTTTTTGACATATAGGCAGAGGCTAATGATTTAGATTTCGTTTCTGGTAAGTTTGATTTCTTCAATTCAATAGACTTAGAAATCTTCGATTTTATGGAGTAAGAATTCTTCGATGTAATATACTTTGAATTCTTCGATTTTATAGATTATTATATCGTAGATTTAACAGATATTAATTAGTAGACTTCGGATTAGTAGATCTTTTAATAAGTCTTTTGATAGTTTTTGGACACCAGGCATATATCTGTGTTTGAATTCTTGGATTATGTAGATTCTTAATTCGTAAATGTAACAGCGTTTGTATGCATAAATGTAAGATTATTTGGCTTATTCAAGTTTTTAATTCGTAGATCTTTATAAATTGTCTTTTGGTAGATCTAATCGACTTTGAACGAGTCAAGCGGTGGTTCGTGAATCTGAAGACATAGTAATTGTGAGTTCAATCCCAGGGCCAGGCAGTGCGTACTTGCACTAATTAGAAACAGTGTGATCAAAAGCTGATTGATGAATTGATTCGTTTTTTACAGCTTATCAACCCTTCGCAGGTTATTTACAGCCAAAAGACATTTTCAGATTGTAAGAAGTATTTTTTTTTTGTTATATATAATAATGATTTAATCATAGAAGACTTAGTAATTAACCCATATCTAAGGAGTGAAGAAGAGAATTTCTAACTAATAAGAATTTGATAAACAAATAAGAAATTATAAGGTGTATATAAAGTCGGGGATCAATACTATATTCCACTCAATATAGAAATGATCACTCACTTTGTGGCCACAGTAGTTTCGACACATTTATATTCAAGATAATTCAAATAAATCCAAGAGATATGCCTTTGTTCTCATTCAGTATTTCATTGATTGTTTTGTTTTCCCTGGCTTATCAACTCTTTGTAGGTTATTTAAAGCCAGAAAATATTATTAGATTGTAAGAGTACGTTTTGTTTTGTTTTTTAGATAATAATGGTTTAGTGGTAAAAGTATTTCTAATTAACACATAACTGTGGAATAAGAGGTAGACACACGCCTATATCAAGGGGTATTTGCGAATAAAGTTCATATAATGAATTACAGCGGGGATTGGAAATCTTTTCTCCGATTAAAAAAGCCGAGCGATTATCCTTTACAAAGCTTACACACCTGTTATTCCTGAGCAGTCACCCATCTAGGTACAGACAAGGGTCAACATTGCTTAACGTCGCTGATCGTACGGGAATCGGTGTTTCAAAGCGATATGGCTGATTCGCGAATGGCGATTAATCGATCTTCTTTTGGTGGATAGAGCCTTCTCACAGGCAATTTTATAAAGTCCAATATTGACAGTCCAATATATAAAGAAAATGAATCTGCGGAGACGGCAACGGGAAACCACTCCACTATCTTTCCCAAGAAATCATGGCAATTCACAGATAATAAAGAAAAGGAATCTGTGAAGAATGTAATGGGAAACCACTCCACTATCTTTCCCAATAAGGAAATCTGTGGAGAAGGCAACAGGCAACTTCACAGATAATAAAGAAAAAAAATCTGTGGAGAAGGCATCGGGAAACCACTCCACTATCTTTCCCAAGAAGTCATGGCAATTCACAGATAATAAAGAAAAAAAATCTGTGGAGAAGGCATCGGGAAACCACTCCACTATCTTTCCCAATAAGTCATGGCAATTCACAGATAATAAAGAAAAAAATTTCCAAGGGAGAAGGCATCAATGGAAACCACTTTCCCAAGAAGTCCACTAAAGGCAATTTCTTTCCCAATAAGTCATGGCAATTCACAAATAATAAAGAAAAGGAATCTGTGGAGAAGGCAACGGGAAACCACTCCACTATCTTTCCCAAGAAGTCATGACAATTCACAGATAATAAAGGAAAGGAATCTGTGGAGAAGGCAATGGGAAACCACTCCACTATCTTTCCCAAGAAGTCATGGCAATTCATAGATAATAAAGAAAAGGAATCTGTGGAGAAGGCAATGGGAAACCACTCCACTATCTTTCCCAAGAAGTCATGGCAATTCATAGATAATAAAGAAAAGGAATCTGTGGAGAAGGCAATGGGAAACCACTCCACTATCTTTCCCAAGAAGTCATGGCAATTCACAGATAATAAAGAAAAGGAATCTGTGGAGAAGGCAATGGGAAACCACTCCACTATCTTTCCCAAGAAGTCATGGCAATTCATAGATAATAAAGAAAAGGAATCTGTGGAGAAGGCAATGGGAAACCACTCCACTATCTTTCCCAAGAAGTCATGGCAATTCATAGATAATAAAGAAAAGGAATCTGTGGAGAAGGCAACGGGAAACCACTCCACTGTCTTTCCCAAAAAATCATGGCAATTCACAGATAATAAAGAAAAGCAATCTGTGGAGAAGGCCAGGGGAAACTAATGCATTATATTTACCAAGAAATGATGGCAATTCAAAGATAATAAAGAAAAGGAATCGGTGGAGAAGGCAATGGGAAACCACTCCACTGTCTTTCCCAAGAAGTCATGGCAATTCATAGATAATAAAGAAAAGGAATCTGTGGAGAAGGCAACGGGAAACCACTCCACTATCTTTCCCAAGAAGTCATGACAATTCACAGATAATAAAGAAAAGGAATCTGTGGAGGCAAGGGCAATGATAATAAAAGAAAAGGAATCTGTGGAGAAGGCAATGGGAAACCACTCCACTATCTTTCCCAAGAAGTCATGGCAATTCATAGATAATAAAGAAAAGGAATCTGTGGAGAAGGCAATGGAAACCACTCCACTATCTTTCCCAAGAAGTCATGGCAATTCATAGATAATAAAAAGAAAAGGAATCTGTGGAGAAGGCAATGGGAAACCACTCCACTATCTTTCCCAAGAAGTCATGGCAATTCATAGATAATAAAGAAAAAGGAATCTGTGGAGAAGGCAATGGGAAACCACTCCACTATCTTTCCCAAGAAGTCATGGCAATTCATAGATAATAAAGAAAAGGAATCTGTGGAGAAGGCAATGGAAACCACTCCACTATCTTTCCCAAGAAGTCATGGCAATTCATAGATAATAAAGAAAAGGAATCTGTGGAGAAGGCAATGGAAAACCACCACCATCTTTCCCATCTTTCCCAAGAAGTCATGGCAAAACCACCCACAGATAATAAAAAGAAAAAAAGGAATCTGTGGAGAAGGCAATGGGAAACCACTCCACTATCTTTCCCAAGAAGTCATGGCAATTCACAGATAATAAAGAAAAGGAATCTGTGGAGAAGGCAATGGGAAACCACTCCACGATCTTTCCCAAGAAGTCATGGCAATTCACAGATAATAAAGAAAAGGAATCTGTGGAGAAGGCAATGGGAAACCACTCCACTATCTTTCCCAAGAAGTCATGGCAATTCACAGATAATAAAGAAAAGGAATCTGTGGAGAAGGCAATGGGAAACCACTCCACTATCTATCCCAAGAAGTCAATTCATAGATAATAAAGAAAAAGGAATGGCAATTCAGATAATAAAAAGAAAAGGAATCTGTGGAGAAGGCAATGGGAAACCACTCCACTATCTTTCCCAAGAAGTCATGGCAATTCATAGATAATAAAGAAAAGGAATCTGTGGAGAAGGCAATGGGAAACCACTCCACTATCTATCCCAAGAAGTCATGGCAATTCACAGATAATAAAGAAAAGGAATCTGTGGAGAAGGCAATGGGAAACCACTCCACTATCTATCCCAAGAAGTCATGGCAATTCACAGATAATAAAGAAAAGGAATCTGTGGAGAAGGCAATGGAAACCACTCCACTATCTTTCCCAAGAAGTCATGGCAATTCACAGATAATAAAGAAAAGGAATCTGTGGAGAAGGCAATGGGAAACCACTCCACTATCTTTCCCAAGAAGTCATGGCAATTCACAGATAATAAAGAAAAGGAATCTGTGGAGAAGGCAATGGGAAACCACTCCACTATCTTTCCCAAGAAGTCATGGCAATTCACAGATAATAAAGAAAAGTAATCTTTGGAGAAGGCAACCGGAAACCACTCCACTATCTTTCCCAAGAAGTTATGGCAATTCACAGATAATAACGAAAAGGAATCTGTGGAGAAGGCAATGGGAAACCACTCCACTATCTTTCCCAAGAAGTCATGGCAATTCACAGATAATAAAAGAAAAGGAATCTGTGGAGAAGGCAATGGGAAACCACTCCACTATCTTTCCCAAGAAGTCATGGCAATTCACAGATAATAAAGAAAAGGAATCTGTGGAGAAGGCAACGGGAAACCACTCCACTATCTTTCCCAAGAAGTCATGGCGATTCACAGATAATAAAAAAAGGAATCTGTGGAGAAGGCAACGGGAAACCACTCCACTATCTTTCCCAAGAAGTCATGGCAATTCACAGATAATAAAGAAAAAGGAATCTGTGGAGAAGGCAATGGGAAACCACTCCACTATCTTTCCAAAGAAGTCATGGCAGTTCAATAAAGAAAAGGAATCAGATAATAAAGAAAAGGAATCTGTGGAGAAGGCAACGGAAACCACTCCACTATCTTTCCCAAGAAGTCATGGCAATTCACAGATAATAAAGAAAAGGAATCTGTGGAGAAGGCAACGGAAACCACTCCACTATCTTTCCCAAGAAGTCATGGCAATTCACAGATAATAAAGAAAAGGAATCTGTGGAGAAGGCAACGGGAAACCACTCCACTATCTTTCCCAAGAAGTCATGGCAGTTCACAGATAATAAAGAAAAGGAATATGTGGAGAAGGCAACGGGAAACCACTCCACTATCTTTCCCAAGAAGTCATGGCAATTCACAGATAATAAAGAAAAGGAATCTGTGGAGAAGGCAACGGAAACCACTCCACTATCTTTCCCAAGAAGTCATGGCAATTCACAGATAATAAAGAAAAGGAATCTGTGCAGAAGGCAACGGGAAACCACTCCACTATCTTTCCCAAGAAGTCATGGCAATTCACAGATAATAAAGAAAAGGAATCTGTGGAGAAGGCAACGGGAAACCACTCCACTATCTTTTTCCAAGAAGTCATGGCAATTCACAGATAATAAAGAAAAGGAATCTGGAATCTGTGGAGAAGGCAACGGGAAACCAAACTCCACTATCTTTCCCAAGAAGTCATGGCAATTCACAGATAATAAAGAAAAGGAATCTGTGGAGAAGGCAACGGAAACCACTCCACTATCTTTCCCAAGAAGTCATGGCAATTCACAGATAATAAAGAAAAGGAATCTGTGGAGAAGGCAACGGAAACCACTCCACTATCTTTCCCAAGAAGTCATGGCAGTTCACAGATAATAAAGAAAAAAGGAATCTGTGGAGAAGGCAATGGAAAACCACTCCACTATCTTTCCCAAGAAGTCGTGGCAATTTGCAGATAATATAGACAAGGAATTTCTGCATAGGGCAATGGAAAACCACTCCACTATCTTTCCCAAGAAGTCGTGACAATTTGCAGATAATAAAGAAAAGGAATCTGTGGAAAAGGCAATAGGAAACCACTAAGTCAGGGAAATTCGTAGATGATAAAGAAAAGGAATCTGTGGATAAGGCAACGGGAAACTACTCCACTATCTTTCCCAAAAAGTCATGGCAATTTACAGATAATAAAGAAAAGGAATCTTTCGAGAAGGCAACTGGAAACCACTCCACTATCTTTCCCAAGAAGTCATGGCAATTCACATATAATAAAGAAAAGGAATCTGTGGAGAAGGCAATGGGAAACCACTTCACTATCTTTCCAAAGAAGTCATGGCAGTTCACAGATAATAAAGAAAAGGAATCTGTGGAGAAGGCAACCACTAAAACCACCCACTATCTTTCCCAAGAAGTCATGGCAATTCACAGATAATAAAGAAAAGGAATCTGTGGAGAAGGCAATGGGAAACCACTCCACTATCTTTCCCAATAAGTCATGGCAATTCACAGATAATAAAGAAAAGGAATCTGTGTGAGAAAAACGGAAACCACTCCACTATCTTTCCCAAGAAGTCATGACAATTCACAGACAATAAAGAAAAGGAATCTGTGGAGAAGGCAACTGGAAATCACTCCAATATCTTTTTCCAAGATGTCATAGCAATTAACAGATAATGAAGAAGTGGTATCTGTGGAGAAGGCAATGGGAAACCAAGTCTTTCCCAAAGAAGGCATGATAATTAATAAAAAAAAAATCTGCAAAACAATATTTATATAGATATGGCCGTAGAGAAAAGGAATCAACAATTCATTATCTTTCCCAAGAGATATCCT